TATATATATATATAATTTATTCATATTTATATATTTAAACTGTAATACTACAAGAATGAATGGATACCAAAAATTTTTATGTATTTCATTTTAATTTTAATTTATGCTAGAATTTTCTTTTGCATCGAATTCATATATTTTCATGATAAAATATATGCTAGCAATAATAATCATAATTCATAACGTAGTTATAGGATGTGAGCATATTTTTACAATTGTGGCACGTTAAAACAAAAATGATGGAGATGACATGTAATGCAGACTAGCTGATTTATTTGGATGACTGTCGAGTTATATCACAGAGATTGGATTGTGACCCCGACGATGAATTAATTAATTGACGACCGGTACATGCGAAGGCAGATTTTAATTGGTAGATTGCTGGAAATACTAAATTTTTATAAAATTAATAATTTCTTCCGTGTGATAATTTAATTCTACTTAGTTCCTGTCAGGTTTCATAAGTGCTATGGGAATGATGTTGTCTTAAAACGTTGAAAAAAAAGACTTTTATTGAAAAGCGTACAATTTAAATAAATCAATGTTTTAAAAATTCTATTATATCCCAAATAATTCAAATCACTTTTATTGATTTTTAAAGTTTCAAATAAAAATTGTTGGAAACTGTGGCGTAATAATATTTGAAATAAAATAGTTACTCATAAATATTAACATTTATCGTATCCTTTATGCTTATCAAATTGATCCCTTTGAGTTTTCAACCAATTTTCGTATCGTTTTTCAGATGCTGGACTCCAGTAAGTTGCAAATTGCTTAGAAAAATCATTCGGCATATTTTCTGCAATAAAAGTTAGGCAAAAATATTCAACGGAAAAAGTAAACAAATGCCTATATATATGTTTCACCAGTAACAATAAAAGCATTTATATTGAATAAATAAAAAATTACCTCTTATCACCTAATTTGATCTTAAATTGTGGAAAATTTTGGTGCAAAAGTAATTAGCATTACTATTAGAATAAATATTATCAAATCTAGTTGGCTCTTTAGTGAAGAAAACAGCATCGAGAATAAAATAGTCATTTTGGTAATTACTGATATTTTATTTCAGTTTATTTATTATACCCTACTAATATAGGTGAAGTTTTAATATTGCAGTTTTTGTAAAAGACATACTCATGCAAAATTTTATTTGGTGTGTTCTTATAATTTAAAAAACTCAAAATTTGACAAAATTAATAGAATCTTTTATAATCAGTTTATTTATGGCAATTTATAATAGTAAAACTTAGTCATCATTAATAAAAGTAGCTACATCGTTTTTGAGCAAATCTGCAAAATTATGATTTGAATTTATAAAAGCAAATGGATAAAAAATGGAGTAGAAATAGAAATACTTGAAGTGAAGGTTGTCGACTGAGTTACTGAGAAGCGTTGGTTTTGATATGTATCTTTATCTAAGACTGAGCCCATCAACTGCAGATCACAATATTTTGTAGTTGAGGATGACGACGAGGAGTAATTTTTAGGTTGAAAACGGCGAAAATTTTCTTTTTTTTTCGATATATCCATAAAAGCAAATTAAAAGTTAAAAGCAAGAAATTAAAAAGGATAAAATAGCGTCAGTTTTGTAATATGACGTGAAAAAAATTGAAACGCGAAATCTAAGTAGCTTAAAAAGTGACAGGCGAAGAAAAAAGTAAATAATGTTGGCTATCCGTCATAGTCAGACGAAAAAAAAAAGACAATTATTTTCAGATATTCATAAATGATATTAGTACAAGATACTAACATTATGAGCTGAAGAGGAAGACGGTCCAAAAATGATATCAGAAAGTAGTCAAATAATTCATTACCATCAATATTATACAGATTTATACGAATTACTTACATGAGAAGGCGTACGGAACTTCAGAAGCAATTAAGGGCATTATTTTTAAGTATTCCATACAGAATGAATAAATTATCGAAAAAAGTATTACATTAAATAACTGTAAAAGGATGAGGTCTTTTTTATTCTCAGATATGTATAAATTTGGTCTTATTTCATTACACATTTGTCAATGTTTAACTGTTCAATTCATTTTTATTTGTTTATTTTATTCTAAAAAAATCCTCAACTCATATTATTAATAACAATCAATAATAATAATAGTAATAATAATAATTAATAATAATAATAATAATAATAATAATAATAATAAATGATGAACAACCATCATCACTATGATGTAGTATTGATAAAGAAGGAAACACATTGAGGAATATGAAAATAAAGTTTATTTGAACTATAGTTACTATCATGTCTTCTATCTCGATACTCTTGCGGTCGTACAGATTAATTCTGGTTGTATGAAAATTACATTTAGTAATGATATTAAATGATTAACCTAACAAATATTTAAGGCAGAAAGCATTAATCATGAAATAACTATAAAAGTACTATTTAGAAGGGTCTAATTTTTGTTAAGTATTTATTCTCTTCTTATTAAAAGTCATAAAAATTATATTAGCATTGCACTTTTTGATAAATGAAGTAAAAGTTTGTGCTTTCTTGCTTATTTTGAATAAGAAACTCACGTGTATCTGTCCATTCTTGCACACAATAAAAATATACGTCTAAATACAAGTGAAATGATGGTAGTATTCATGCAATCTACGCAAAGCATATTGTATTATAGTTGTTTTTTGATCATATCAGAAGACCAAAATTAAGATGAAATAAATTGCATCAATACTATTACATTATTTTATTTGCACTTAATATATTGCTATTTGAGGTGGAGTTTATTTCAAACCATTTAAATGCTGTTTGATCATATGAGCTCACAACTATTAAAAATTGAATTAGCAAAACTTGCAAAGGATTTTGCTATTCATAGTTTTATTCTAGCAATTAACCAAGTTATTACTCATGATAATATTTATTCGAAAAAATTATTTTGTAATAATTTCATTAAAAGTGTATAATAAAAATTAGCATATCTTGAATAGAAAAAAATAATCATGATAATTTTTTGCTGACATAAAGCTTTCATTATCATTTTTTGAATACATGCAGTAAGCAAAGCATTTTGACTTATTTTATTGCAATGCATCAGATGCAAAAATGAAGGAAGATTGCAAATTAATGTTCGAAAAAAAAAGATAATGACAATATTACTAAATAACTTTACTTGAAATTTTTTTTAAATGAAAAATTTACAAAAATTGAAGTATCACATTGAAAAGGCAATTTCGCCAAAGTTAAGATGTTTTTATCCACAATATAACATTTTAATTTGCTCAAGTTTTTATATTTAAAGCACATGCAACATACTGTATGAAACATTTTTGCTTCTGCAATTGCTAAACTTTTTTTGATGAAAACGATTCATATATGTTGCAACTCATTTAATAGTAACGTATACAAATCATTGAAGATTTAAAAAATTTAAAAATCAATGAAGATTTAAAAGATTAACAGATTTGAAATATTATTAGTAACCAAAAAGATTGCGCATTGTTGACTGTGGAAAATTATAAAAATAACCTAAGCAAGAATATAAATTGTCATCAAAATACCGGTGGCATATTTTATGCACTGTTAGTTTTTTTTTTTAACCATACACTTCAAATATTCTTAAAAAATTAAGTAGAAAATGTAACATTTGAAAACAAGCTTTAGCAAGCACTTTTCTTTCTCCTAGTTCTATTTACAATACTTTAGTTGTTGTAATTTGATTCCAGTTCTCCAGTACAGTTTGTTAAAATTTTGAACTTCCTTATTTATTTTTAATTGTTGCACTACCTGCTATTTTCGAAATTTTTATCAGTAATCACGCTTAATTTTTGTTTAATTTACTTATTTTATTCTAATTTTTAGGTTGTTCCAATCAAAATTAATGATTTTTGACACTACATGTGAGATATTGTATTTAGTGTGTGAAAAATTTTTGTTCCTAAAATGCTTTACTTGGGATAACTATACAACAAATTCATTTAATAATCGATTATATTTTCAAAAGTTTTGATATTTACATTAAAAGTTAAATTTATTTTTTTCATAAACTATCAGAAAGTAAATTTTTTTTTAACTGTTTAATATTCTCTAGACTAAAATTTTCGATTTATTTTTATGAAGAACTAATTTATTGTGTTGAAAGTGAATTGAATAATTATCATTTGTGCACAGTAAGCAGTAATAATTATGCAAATATTTTTTTTAGTATAATTATGTACTTGGTGTATCTTTTCATCATTATATGAAAGACAGATTTTGTTGATATTTTTATCATCCCTAAAACTTATTATTTTTACTTTACGTCAGTTAGAGTCTACAGCTCAATAGTTTAAAGAGATCATTACAAGGGTTGCAAAAATTACTTCCTTTATATGAAGGATTACTAATTGATGGAATCACTTTCTATATAAACAAATAAACAAATCCGGGAAATTAAAAAAAAATCTTGGAAATGTCAGATAGCAACTTAATATACTTTGTCATTATTTTTCTTGCAGTGTACGAAAGTCTTAAAAAAGAAAGAAGTTTGCATGATTACTCTATTAAAAGTTCCTTGTTCTTACAATGGTAATACTTTAGCTCTAACTAGTCAAAAATGTTAATGCCACGTAATGTATTATAAAAATATTTTCAAAATGTATTATCAAGCGGTGAAAATATTAAAATTTCGCATGATAAAATTTAAGTTTTGTTTTGCACTTTATTTGAAAAAAAAAGTGTGCTCAGTCAATGACTTAATAGCATTATTACACATAATTGTACACATTAAATTTAAAAACCAATTTTACAGTAAAATATTTTTGAAAATTAAAAACATATATAGAGATGCATTGTATTGTAGGATTAACGAAAAGCTGAACAGATTAATTACTGAAAATGAATGAGCTACAAAAAGAATTTTGTTTGATCATTATGATTTCAATGACGATGATAACCAGAGGTCAAGAAGTACACGCTAATTGTGCTCTTGCACCTGCAGGTATTTTCATCCATACATATCATTTCATTTAATTTGCATTACAATTTTTTGTGAACAAATTTCATATGGACGATTACTCATTACACATGTTGTTATTTATGCTTCGTTACACATTTTCAACTAACTGCAATTAGAGATATCATTGCACAGTTTGCTGTATAGGCATATGTTATTTATGCTTCATTAATAATAACCTAAATTAAAAATGCACCAACTCAGTTTTCTTGCTTAATAAATTAAGCAGTAGTCAATTTTGATTTTTTTTTAATTCAAAAAATTTCTTTCCAACAAATGCCTATAAACAAATATCCAAGAAAAATTTAAGGTGACAATATAAAGTTCACCAGAGTTAAATTATTCTTGAAAGAAATTCATAATACAAACTATCTGCTTAACTTTGCAACAGGTTGATGTAATAACACTTAATAAAAGTTAATTTATAAGGTTTAAAATTTTCAGGTTGCTAACGATTGACAAACTTTATTAAAATTTTTTCTAAAAATAATTTTTTTTCTGAAATAAATTTTGTGATTATGAAAACGTAATTGAATTTATTTACTGCAAAATTCTCGTGTTCATAAACTTCTTTAAAACATATTAAAAAGTAAAAGAGTGTATTTATTAATAACTACAAAAATATTTCATATCAAAAAAGTTTTAATACAATTCTTTAAGTTTTAAAGTTAGCAGCAATAATGATAGAAGTGGTGCATTCGAGATAAGTTTAAATAGAATGTGGATTAGAAAGCAAACTTTTTTAGTACAAATTTTTTATTCATCTGCATTATTTTTATTGCATGCAATATTCACTTGACGATCACAACTAATTTACAAATTTCATTTTTGCAAAAGCTTGCTGTTCTATTAAGTTTTTCAAACACTTCTGAGCCCTATCTCATCACTTAGCAGTTAAATTCATTTGCAGTAAAGCTGCCATCAATTTAATTTTAATATTTGTGTTGAATATTTAGTGCATGAGGATAAAACTTCAACTTTATGTGGTCAGCACTGAATAAATTTTAGTTGACAAAAACGAGTTCGGTTAAAAGAGAAAGTGTTTTTTTCTGTAATTTTTTTGCTACTAACATTACTTCTAATGCAAATTTTTACCAAAGTACAAAGTATTCCAAAAAGCTTCTTATTAAATCTATTAGTAAAAAAATATATGCGCAGTCAATTAACTGAATTTACTAAATATAAAATGAAAAGAAGCGCAACACGTTTAGAAAAAAGTTAACAATGCAACTTATTTAGCAAACAGTGAAAAGTACTGATCGCTGAAACAGGAACATGAAGCAAGTTACGCTTCCTGATCTCTTATTTGGGTGTGATCAAAAATGCTAGCTTATATTTTCTTGTAAAGATTAATGAAAAACAAGGTATTAGTGGGATTAGTAAAGTAATCCAGAAAGCTTCCGCGAAAGTATATAATATTCATAGAATCGGAAATGATTGATAGATTCATGACAAAATATCAGATTCATTTCTAAACAATATTTCATATCTTTGAAAAAACTTTGAGTACTCATGCACTGATGCACTGACCTAATCCTGACTATAGTTGCAGTTTAATCCTTTAAGTATATCAGCTGAGCTCAAATCATTTCATTACAAGTAATCGTATGTATAGACAAATAGAATATGACAAATTATTGTAGTGACTCAGCCTTATATTGATAAAATTGATTTATTTATTGCAAATAACAAAATTTCAATTTTGCTAAAAACAATAAGTATTTTTATTTTAGTAAACATTTAAAATATTGAAGAAGTGAATCAATAAAAACAATTATCAAAAATATGGAAAACGCTACTTCAATATGTCCTTTCGTTTTTTCTAGTGAATTAATTTGCTTGCCTGCAGCAAAAACTATTCTTTTAACGCTACACATATTGTAAAAATTTCAGTTGGAAAAGTCAGGTAATAAGTATAATAAATTTAAAAATATTACTGCCTTATTTTTGAAATAACTATTTCTCTTCAAACAAGAAAAATAAAACTTTATATGTAACAAAAAGTTGCAGAAGTCCAATTTTTCTGCTTACAACTCGTGAACTTGGACATACTCTCACGTCAACAAATTCAATTTCAAGCAATGCAACAGCATAGATTTGAGCCACCAGTCCAGTTTGACATGACACCAAGAGTACCTGGGCAGAATTCCATGCAAACAGCATTGGACTGCATGGACTTATTTTGCTTATGTCCATATTTAAATGTTTGTTTGATAACATTTTCATTTTGAGAAGCTCTAAACTCATTTATGCAATCTAAATTAGTTTTAAAAAATCTTTTATGTGAGCCAGTACATGAAATAAAAGAAAGTTCTATTCTAAACGTAAAAAGATAATAATAGCCTTAGATTTGCAATTACTTACAAAATTTAGTGCAATTTTTGGAAACTACAAAGTTTTGGCATATTTTGAATTTTTAAAGCATAGTTATAATTTTTTCTAAAGCAACTTTATTCACATAATATAAGAGCTGTAAATTATAAATACAATACTTCTATACGCTGGCTTATTGATTAACAAGAAGATGTGATAGTGATAAAAATTCATAAACATTTTTAAATTTAATTTCCCGCGCAGTTAAGAGAAATTTAGTTATGAATGACAAGAAATTGAATTCATGCTTGTTTTATTATAGTTCTTACTATGTACTTTTATCATTTCTGTCTCAAAAAATTATTCTTGTACTGACAAGTACAAAATTTCTTTTTTGGTACTTCTTAAAGCACATTTTGTGTGTTTGAAAAATAGTGCGTGGATTTTTTTATCTGCAAACATGTTTTGCAGGGGCGAATTGGCAATAATGTGTGCATACTACCGAATGGAGCAATATTGCAAAAATCTGTTCGTAAAGAATATCGAATGCTAACAAATGCTGAACGAAATCGTTTTCATGACGCTGTGCGAAGATTGAAAAGAAGCGGGAATTATGATGTCTTATCAAGGATACATCAACAAGTATTTTTCATAATTTATAATTAACAAATATAAATGCAAGAGTATTATACCATACCATAAATAAGAAATATAATTATTTAAAGCAACTATATATATACGAGTAACTTTTAATCATCAAGCTGAAATATAAATAATCATAGATGATATGTTTTAACCCTTTCATTTTAAATGTTTGGTTCAATCGCAAATTAAACAGAAGAAATAAAAAACAAGCAACCATGCATAGTGATAAAAATAAACAACTGGTACTCTTCAGATGGCCAGTTCAAGTGGTGCTCACTCAGGTCCAGCTTTCTTACCATGGCATCGAGAATATGTGAAAAGGTTGTAGCACAATTCATAATCTCGAGCAATGACTAAAATATGTGCATAACTACTGCTTATCTGGTTCATAAGAGATAAGAAGAAATATGTTTTAGGAAAAATTCTTTCTTTCTTATTTATTAAAAATTCTATAGAGTAGTATGTATTCAAAGTGTAAAAAGTGCTAAGTGTGATTTTCATATTTAAAAGTTTGAAAATCTTTTAATTATACTTTATCCGCTTTTCATTAATTTTAAAAAAGTTGAAAAAAAAGTGCTTTAGCAGAGTTTTTTCAGCTTCATTTTTTTCTCTTTGTTTTACTTCATTCCCACCTCTGCTGGCAGTATTAGCTGGAAGAATAAAATTAGCAAATATAATTAGAATTATAAGCAATATATATATATATATATGTATGCATGTGTGTACATCAACATGGCAACTAGTAATTAAACGTGATAAACAGGGTGGAAATTGCACTTCGCTTAATTGATCCGTCACTAGCAATTCCTTACTGGGATTCTGTTATGGATAGCTACTTACCAAATCCACGAGATTCGATAATTTGGAGCACATTGTTTGCTGGTGAAACAGATAATTCTGGAAATGTGATAAATGGTCCTTATATTGGATTTCGAACTTTAGAAGGTCGACCAAATATCAGAAGGTAAATGCTGAACATTTTATGAAAATCTTAGCACTAAAAAATCTTTACAATATTACTTTTTTTAAATTTTTCATTAAAAACTGCTATTTAAAAAAAAAGACTTTCAGGAAGAAGCGAAATTTTTTATTTCTTGCAGATCATTAGGTTCTGAAGGACGTCTATTTGCCGAAAATGACATCTGGAACGTTGTGAATCATAGAAGCATTTCAAATGTTTTGGCATTTACTGCTCCAGAAGCTGGTTCCTTCATTGTGTTAAACAACAACAAAAAAAAATGAACCAACTGACTTATTGTTAACATATAAAATGTTTCGGAGCAACGAAAATTATTGTTTTTCTTTTAAATTATGAAAATGTTTTTTTTCCAAAGACAATCAGTTAATAATAGACAGTAATGGAAAATCTTGGCTCAATTTGAAAACATAACAAATTGCTCAGGATGTCCTTTTTCTCCAAACTTCGAAGCGTTGGAATATAAACATGGAAGCGTGCATCTATGGGTTGGAGGGGATATGAAACCCGTAATTCAATCTTCAAATGATCCTATATTCTTTTTGCATCATTCATTTGTGGATTTCATTTGGGAATTGTTTCGACAAACAAGACAAAACATCTGGGAACGAGAACAGGCATATTCTTGTTTATTTTTGCTGTAAAGCAACTTTATGCATGAATTTACTTTGACATATTTTGCATACAAAAAAAATAAGCAACTTTTCTTTTCAACAAATTTGTTTAATGAATGAAAAAATAACTGTTGCAACTTATTTCGATATTAAATTACCTCTAACCAGTATTTTTGGCATTGTTAAAACAGAAAACATGCTAAGGTAAGGCTTTTATTACACAACTGTTACTTAATGCTTATGCATGCATATACCTGCTACATTTAACAAAATATATATATTTTTTAAATTGCCAATATGATTATATTCTAATTGAGTGATATGCGTTTGCTTCTACATCGTTTCATGTACAAAATCTTTGTTATAAAATAATTTGTTTAGGCATATCCACCGGAACTACCACAATGTGCTAATGCATTACATCTCAAACACTCTCCAATGTTGCCATTCAATAAACAAAATGCAGATGGTTCATTTCACTTTTTTGAATGAAAATTTCAACAAATGTTATTGAGTATTAGCTCAAAAAAATTTCAATCAACTTTATTTATCTTTCTTATGATTAGATTCTAATACTCTTTACAGTACCTAGTTAATGATTCTGAGCTATTTAATTCCTCGTTATAGAATGTGGTAAAGTATTTATACAAAGTAAACTATCTTTCTGAATTACACATGGTATATGATAAAAACGTTAATAGGATTATCAAATGATTACACAAACAACTTATACGAATACGCACCTCGGCCTAGTTGTAGTTGGCAAGTGCGTTCCTGTGGATCACCGTATCTGTTTTGTGATGTAAACCATGGTCAGCCTCACTGCGTTTCCAAAATTAAAGTCAATGGTTTATGTCGCGGTTTTGAAGGAGAAGATGCTTGTTTTCGTAGCATATGCTTGAATTCTGTATGTCGACCTTATAAACGAAAATAGGTATGTTATACTTCGGGATGCAATTTTTTAAAGTGACTATGATGAACTTTCGATGAGAAATATTTCAACACTTGATTTTTCAAATAAGCGATTGTAGCAGTCTAGACCAGCAAGATCAGTCTATCATAGCGCAATAAAGATGCAGATTACATCCAACTCAAGTATGCTAGTAAGTCCATTTCTTGTATATTACGATGATATCGATAAAATCAGCACCAATACTTGACTCTGGAAGTAGAAAACATATTTCGAAAACTTTTCTGATATGCTGAGTAAACTCAACTACCTGAAATAAAGTCGTTATTGCAGGTGTCTTCAGCATTTATTACTAACCATCCGTCTTTAGATAAATATCGTTTGCCTAGCAATGAATGCAATTTTTTTCGACTATTTCTTTGCTTCTTAAGAACACTTCTGGTCAAAAGTTATAGACTGAAGGTGTAATATCAAAAACATGCTTCAGTGATTATCCATGTTGTAAGATATGAGCAAAAAAACAGTATTACACGACTCGATCATTTGAGTAAATTTCGCAAACTCAGTTGTGGCTATGCAACGTACAACAAAAAATGAATGGTAATATAACCAACATTAGTGCTTCCGGTAGAATTCTTCAAGATTTCTGAGAAATAGACGTGATTTCAGAATGTAAGGTTGACCATAAATTTCATCCACAAAGGCAATTCAGAAGTAACTCCATAAGCAAATTATGGTGGATGTTAAGAAACCATAGAATAGCAATGTGTGAAATATTCCTTCATGTCTCTATTCCATAAATGAACTGCCTGCTTAGATAATATGTGATATGAACTCTTGACTACTAATTAAATGAATTAGTTTGACAAAATGAATTTCCCTATAGCACATATAATACTATTGCATCACTTCTAACTAGTATATAGATCACCTAATATAGACCATGCAGATCAGAAAAATTCTATATATCTCTCTAGTACCACTATTCCTCGAAGTCAACACCTCGCATCCAAATCCCGTAAATCAAATTACAAGCCAGCCAACTACTACCAACCATAATGCCGTCCCAATTTCCAGAGTTTTTCAATTCCTAAAAATATGATTTGACACCATTTACAGCAGCTTATTTCGCCCTGGTTTTCACCTCCCATACACTATCAGTTTCCACTTTTAGCATGCCAGACTGCAAATAACGTGTAATGTTTGTTCATGAATTTACAACCACAAATGAAAACTTTATTAGCACTGTAGATCATGGACGAGGTAATAAAGTTTTTCCAAAATTAAATAATTTTCATATCTCCACCACAATAAAACAAATATAACGATCTTATCCATAACAACAAAAAAAACTATAGTGTAACTCCACATTACCAAGAACTAAAACTTCTACTGTCAACATTACGAAAAGGATGAACACAGCAGATTTGATTTTGAGTTATGGAACCAAACGAAAACATCGAGCGACTCCAGAAATGAAATTGTTAAAGTCCAAATGGAATGATATACCAAATCAACGGTGCTCACTGTAGCGGCTATTACCACTCCTGAAAAACTGCAGCGTAAGCAGTAGCAGACTAAAATGCAAGAAAATGAACTTACCGATACCAAATTTCTCATAACAATCACAGAAGCTTTGGAGACATGTGCAAGTCAAACCTGACATTTGATAACTGAGAAAAATGAAGTGAATACTAGTCCAGCATAAAGAAAGTATGGATTCCGTAAAAACATTTAATACACTTTATATCAAGAAGCGAGATGGTGGTTTGGTGAGCATACTTTCATGCATGCACCAATATACAGACAACTGATAAAATTGACGTAATATAAAGATTTCAATACACTGTGAAACATGTTAGTGATCAAAAGGAGAAACCCTAACTCTTAATACAATATAGATAGACTAATTGTAATTCCAACATAAAAGGCAAACACCATTCACCGAAACCGGCTACATGAAAAAATTAGGGACAATTGAATTACTTTAAAATCACCTATTTAAAAAAATGGTCGGTAGAGCTCAAAAATTAAAGGAGGACAAAATGATTTCATCAAAAATTCGTTGAGGAGTAAGGATCCAGAAACACAAGTGCGCAAAATCGGACTTACCACTTGCAGTAGTATAATGCCCAATAATTCATTTAAAAGAATATCTTGTGATGTAACCACTGATATTATTCATCGCAGAATCCAGCAATTTACACAAGCAAGTGCAGCCGATTTTGTCAAAGCTACCAGTATCCGCCCACCGTACAACTGTTAACCGAACCGACTATGTACGAGTAGCACCAAAATTTGGCTTGGCTGGCCGCTAGTGAGGATAACTCAATTCATTCGTACCCGAAAACCAATTTGCACGGTTCGGCCGATGTAGCTTATACATTAGCAATGTTTTCTTTCCTTTCATTTAAGACATACTGTGACTGGAATATAAAAAAAATGAATTTTAGAAACTCGCGACATTACCAGTAGATATTTGAAAGTATGCGGGATGAGTCATAATGCGTTTTAAATCTTACTGCCACACTACTATAACTTTTCATTTCCAGAAGAAAATGAAAATACTTGTAAACCACGAACAGCTGCGTACCGATTGAAATCAAGACAGCAATAGGAAATACTGACGAGGAATCAAAAGATCCAAATGAAACAAATGAGAGCATGATTCATTAAGATTATGCGTCAAGGCGTTAGTTTCTTGAGTTCAATCTGACGCACAACCCTAAAAAAAATCGAAAAACAAATGCTACCTTCTATCACCGCTGTTACCACTGCTACTATAACTGTTTCGATAACCACCTCCACCGTAAGAACGAGCACCCCCTGATCGTCCTCCATAACTCCCTCCATTGTAACCTCCTCCTCTACTTCCATAACCCCCATAAGATCTGAAAAAATAAATTTTTTGAACACAATATAAATTCAGAAGTTTCAAAATATTATTACGCTAGAAACGCCGAAAATGTAAAAGCAAAATATTCAAAGATGCAAACCGTGGGCCTCCACCGCCTCTATAACCACCACCACCAAATCGTCGAGGAGGACCACGCTCACCAGGTTTTCTAGGTGGATGAGCTGTAGCCACTTTAATTTTATTTCTTCCAATGTACCTATAACAAAGTAAGCATACATATAGATACATTTATTTTCTTTTTCAGGCAAAATATTCTCAGAATTTCCAATTTTATTTTTTTAGACAATCTCTTTCAAAGTTATATTTAAAATCAAGAAACATATGTTTGTAGATATGAAATCAGACTATTTTACGTAATGTTAAAATAAATAAAAAGAATTATGTGTAAATTTACGCACGCATTATTCATTTCTTTCAAAGCGTCCGCAGCATCTTCTTTCATTTTAAATGTAACAAAAGCAAACAAAGGAGGATATGATGCCAGCCAAACATTATCGATGTCGCCGAATTTGCTGAATAATCTAACAGTTCGAAACTATGAATACAACACGATCAAATTCTATGGATACATATGAAAAGCTCCCAGGAACAGTATTAGAATTCATTTAGTTCTTCTCAAAACCACGATTCTGTGACAAATTTAATCAAGTCAGAATAGTAGTTATTTTAAGAGTGCAATAGATGTCAGGGAACTGTACCACTGAAACAACTATCATACTGACTTCATCAAATCATTTTTCAAAAAAAAAGCCTTAAACATTTCGTTCACTTGCGTGACAAAAAAATGCTAACAAATACCCGAATGCATCCTTTAAATCATCTTTTCTCAAGCTTTCATCAAAATTGCAAATGTGAAGTCGGCCAAGTTGTTCAATAGCATGATCAATCGATCTTGAACGACTCCGGCGGCGTGGTGGAGTATTGCTACGTGAGTCAGAACGTTCACTAAAATTATCATGTTTGATGGAACAATCACAAATGATATTATTAAACATAAAATCTAGAATAAAAAGTATTATTAACAAGCCTTTTAGGCGAATGACTTTTGGATCGTTGACGATCACTTCCTGATGAAGACATATTACGGATATCTAAATCAAAACGAGTATATAAAATAACCTAACAGAGCATTTCTTACCGCAAACACCACTATGCAATCGATAGAAAAAGTATAACACGAAACTAAAATAAGCAAGAGAGCGCGCTAGTTGCTGATGACACTCAAACGCACACAACCACTCCCAAACATTTGCTCAAAGATTTCGTGCCAATGCAATAAAATCATTCATCAGTTTGTCTGTTGCAGCATCACACAATCACAAGACCTTGCAATATTTATGGCGAAATTTTAATGCTCAATGATGAACTACGTCAGCTCCTATACTTCTCGCTATCAGTAAAGCAAATCAGATGACACTTGTTTTTCACTTTCAGTCAATATCTTTCGAAAGATAAACATATATAACATCACTCCACTACCGCTTTTTTCTACACTTATATATGATCAAATAGTGAAAATAATAAAGTGAAAGCACAATCAAGCATAGCATATATTTTTCTACTCAACAACGACACAATAAACGAAAAACTGGTGAATGTATGTATACTAGAACTGAGTTTAAATGCAAGAACTAATTTTTAACTGATAGTTTTATTGGTAGCAAAATTAAGTCATAAAATGCATTACAGATAAGAGCAGAAGCAAATGTTCTTATTTTCAGACTTCACGTTTTCCAAGTTACATCCGTATCCGTGTACTCTTTTCATGATAATTTCGTTTACAAGCTTCCAGAATAACATTCTCTTCTTTCATGAAGTTGATCCAGAATTCTTATTATGGGTACCACATTAAATGGAAAATCATTGGATTTTTGCAGCAAGATACAGGAACTACGCAATTTTTCTAAACAATGGAGAATTTGCTGATCATCTGATTCTTGATAGGCCCATTTTTGTGGTACCAAATGAGCTCTCTACAACGTTGTCACTTTCATTACTAATAATTTCTAACAGAAGCTAATTCAACTATCTTAAATATGAAAACAGAACTAAATTCAGAATATGTTATGGTGCTCAGAAGCAAGACATGTGACAACTTGTCTTGTGAAGGACTCGGTTACTATGGTACTTAAATTCTTCTACAGTGGCAAAAGTAAGCCAAAAATTTCTAGAGAAAGTCTAAAAAATCACCCCTTCGCTTATTGGGAATATGTAGGATATTGTGACAGGCATATCACCATGTAACTGCTGTATATGAAGTACGATGTCATTAGTCGAAAAATTCGATTTAGTCCTCACAAACTGAGCTTGCTTGGTTTTTTTGCACCTAGAAATAGAAAACAACAGTAAAGTGCTATTCATACACGCCTAGCATGTCTAAAACCAAAAAGTGATGTTATCTGGATGCCGATACCTTTGTTGAAGTAGATTAGAAAAATAATTTCAAGCATGACCGATATAGTGAAGAAAAACATACTGCGAGCATGAAAAGCTGTTTTTGTATGCTGTGTTCAAACAGTTCCAATCTTTGACAAGCATTTTAGTGAAACGCAAGACAAAAGGCACTGCTGCTAATTCTGACAGTAACCAATCCAAAATCACCTGAGCAGTTTTCTAGCATTTGGCATCTTTTGGGAAATAAGTTTTCAAGAATTATGGAATCTTATTGCTATACATGATAGATCATCATTACACATGTTTAACTTCGTAGTTCTCGCGAATATATAATTCACCGTAGTTATTATAAAGTAGGTAATCAATTTTTACAAGGAACAGAAACAAATAAACCTTATAATCGTAATTTATTGAAAACATAATGTGCCGAAATAACCACACTGCTTTCAGTTCGGATGGTGTAGCTCTGAAATCTTGAAGTATTCATTTTGGAATATATTTTCAACAAACCAATTCCTTTTTCAAAAAATTGGGCAGATAGAGAATTCAATTAAAGAAATCTTAGCTGGAAGACACAATTTTCTCTCGTTTTCAATTTCAGAAAAACAACAAGATTTAGAAAATCTTCCACATTACAGCAAAGTCATCAATTTCTATAATTTTGTAACTACTGTCTTGGACAAGTCACAATGTAGTCAATGTATAGAGGGTGAAATGCTCATGAACTGTTAGTTGGCGTGTACTCGTTAGAAATCCAGACCAACATTTAAAGCGTGATTTATTAACAACACCTAACTCAAAAATTTAAAAATTCTTGAAAAAATTTACATTTTATAAGCTTCCAAATATAACAATGCTACAGACACAGAAAGAAATCGATCATCTTGTATTAGTAATGCTGATGACAAGCAACTGTTTGATGGAATGAGACGAACTGAGGCTTGCAAAAAAGCTTCGATTTCACTTGCATCTGAAAACAAACAAAAGGCTGCTGCTCCTTGACCATGGCGAATAGCAACAAACGAAAATCATAAAAAGTAAAGCAAGATAAGAGACCAACCAAAAATATTTAGAGCAAGAGCAGCCGAATGCCAACAACAACTGAGAAATGTGATTGCATTACATAAGGAATTTGTTTTAAAGCCTGACTGCTCACCACCAAACCATATTGTTTCTATAAAAGTATACTGCTAGACGAGATCAAAAACTGAACAATATGACAATAAAATTACTGTACGATTTATGTACCAATAAATTGTTTGACCTAATAATTTACTATAAAATCATAACGATATTCGAAATGTATATTAGATGCGATAGTCAATGGCAATAGAAAAATATGCAAATTAACGTGAACAACGGCTAAAGCATACCTTAGAACAAACTACACTTGCATACCTGAATTAAAGTAAATCTTTGATACAACACTCTTCAAAATACGAAACACTGAAGCAGTACAAGTCCGCACTTTATCTTCCAAAGCTTTCCGACCAAAATAACTTTCTTGCCATACAGCAGTGAGGAAGCACTCAACAATAGCATACAAACGACGACGAAGTGCACAATCCTCAATTGAATAAATTGACCAATTAAATAAAATCCTGCTACTCAGAAAAATTTGTGAAGTCACACCTTCAATATCCACATCCATTAAATCCTTCAAGGATTCATGCCCCATACTGTATTGTCAGCTGCTTCTATAAACACACCACCATAACGACACTACCACAATGATTTCACCTTGCAAGGCTCACTTCCTCGATTCTTTAAACACACATGGCCTTTTGAAAAGTATCAAAGTTCGAAAAAAATAACCAAGACTTTATTCTTGGCTAGAAACTTTAACTACAATTTCTCCAGTCCCGTGCAAAATGCAAGTACTCACATAAAGTATCAAAATTCGAACAAAAATAACGACTTCTCTCATTCCAACAAATTATACAAGCATGTATTGCTAAAAAATACAAGAAAATTTATTTCATTTTAACATACAAGTTGGCATAAATAAAAAAAAATTTTGATATCAAAGTGTTTAAGTGACTTCAATCATTACGATCACTCTCATCTCCTGTCGTATCAATCTGGAAAATTAATTTTATCGACAACTTGAACTGAACAATACGTCACAATACTAAAAGATGATGTAAACGTCACATTAATACAACTACAGTGAATTACTTTTTCTATGCTTGTCAAACTCAAATCCTCATTTTGAAACATAAATTAAACCAGATGTAGCATTACCTCATCATCAATTTCTTCTTCTACTTCATCTTCATCCTCAGCATCATCGAAACTCATAAAATTATCATTCACTGCTTCTTTTGTATAGAAAAGCACTGCACGAGGTATTATCTGATCACGGAATACCAGTCCAATTTCAAAATCAGCTTGCAGCAGTTCCCGTTCTTCGGGGTCCTGAAATCTCAAGCCAGTGAATTAAAACCAGATATTATTTCTGCAATTAAATAATGATTTGGGAGAGTGCCGAAAACAAAGTCTGCCTAAAACAATCAAAATCTAAATCATGCTAACAAGTTCACTGTCATTCGTCCCAATCCTTTTATTCGTGAACGGTGTATCGAAGAAGTTGAAAAACGAATCTGTCTTCACTGATTTTGTAATGAAACGACTGGCATTACGAGTCTTCTTTTGCTCCTTTTTTTTCACAATCTTTTGTGTGACATTCTTACCTTCTTTCCATTTTATTTCAGTTCTATAAACACAAGACTAAAGGATACTCAAAAATGCATAGTGATGTCAGCTGAGTTACATGAAAAAAAATCAACACAAATTTACTGCAGCACGTATATTAAATTCATGCAAAAACCAATACCCTTTCGCCCCGACTGTAATTGGGCCATCATACTCGAATATTTCATCAGGATTTGGACCGATTTGAAGCATATAACGTTTCTTCAGTTGCGTCTGATAGAAATAATCATTGGGTTCGAAATGGAATGTCAAAGTATATGACTGAAAAATGTCATAAAAGGAGTTAGAAAACAACACTCAAAACAATAGTGCAGTACTATAAAATGAAGCTGTCCATTACGTACTTCGACAATTTGTATTCAATTTTTTTTCAATGACTAACGTCTGGAGTCGTGTCAACATCACAAGTGATGTCGATGAGGTGCTGCAAAATCGGCTCATCATGTTCCATAACCATTTCCCCAACGTGGTCGGCACTCTTCAGCAGATGCAGCCAAAAACGTGGAATACCTTTGGTAGGCTGAGCTGGTTCTGGTGCAGTTGCAAATTCCATTTGCTATAAAAATAGCAATGATCTTTTGTAACAAGTGGAAGAGATTCGCTAAATCTTGCCATTCAATTAAAATAAAGCATTAATAAGTCTTAAATTACGTCTAATAATGACATTTACTTTTATTTCATCTTCTGTACAAGAATGAAGAATGGGGAAATCAGCTTCCTCATCAGTTGGTTCATGAGTGCCCATTACAATCGCCCTACGCTGCAAGAGAACAATGTATTAAGATTTATTCTGTAAAGCAGAGATTTTATAAGCTCATAATCATGAGTGGGCAGATGATGAGTAAACCTAATATTTGCATGACATCCTATGACTTGACAAAAAAAACGGCAAAAAGGTCAAGATAAAAGTGACAGAACACAAAAATTTGGATATTCAATAACGAAAGGAAGGAAGAACACCACTGCATCATTTTATCTGTTCACCAATAAAAAAACATAAATATGGTAAAGGGGTAGAAACTATAATCATTAGAAACTAAAAATATGTGACTCATGTTCAACAACCAAAGGAAACATGCAAAAATGCAACTTACTTTTTCATGCAAAGCGTTAAACATGGGGGCAAATTCCGCTTCAAGCTGATGCACACGCTCATAAAATTGAGCCTCAATATTAATTCCTGAACATCAAGTTAGATGATTCATTTACCAATGTCTTTCCATTAAATTCATTTCTCCACTTAACATTAACAATTTTAACCAATACTACCCACAGAAATATGCTCCTACTTTCACAGCCTAACATAGACAGAATGACAATACAGTTGAAACAAAATACAAACCATCTATCTGCAATTTCTTCAGCGCCTGAATCCGTCGTTTGATACTTCTAGGAAGCACAGAAATGTAATCCTTACCATCCGTTCTGTCATCGAGGAAGGCTTCGAAATCGTTAGACCCCATCTTATCCTCCTAAAAACAGTATTTACCACGAGTGATTCAAAAGCCCATTGATCACGACCTACCCCCACCCCATCGTCATTGCACAACCAAACCACAACCGAGCATATAACCGAATGACCTACACTACCTTTTCTTGTACCCTCATTTATGAGGGTTGAGCAGTTGGGCGGCCGACACGAAATTTACATACCCATTATGCAAATATTATTTTTCATATGAAAAGTGAATTCATATATTGTTAGTGATGCTAAGTTTGTCGCATAGTGAAATTCAATATGTAATTTACATCGAAGACCATTCACTTACTCAAAAATATGTTTTTTTGATAATACTTGAAAATTTTATGGTATTTCTGACATACTTTCCATGTCAGTTACTATATAGGATATTTTAAGTTCATCCTATTTTTACAACTGGTTTCGGTCAAATCAGATTATTAAGGATTTGTATTCATGTCAAAACTATGCCATAAAACAAACTATTAGTGTTCAGAAGTATAATTAAAGCTCTTATCCACATTGTAGATCAAATTGAGTCTTTAATTAATGACAGTAATCAACAAAATCAATCTATCTACTCAATTTTTCTTTTATTTTCTGAAAAAAACAACACTAAAATGAACTTGATTATGTTTTCAACCAGCAAAAATTTATTTGATCTGTTCATTTCATTTTAATTTAAACCATTTTTAGCTGTTTGCTTGATATAAATGGCAGTGAGTATTTTCTTCTAGATTTTGACTTTATTATCACTAATTTGAAATAAAGTAAATTATCAACAATGAGTGAAACTTTTTGTTTATTTACTTTCTAAATTCATAATTCACTGTCAAAGTTTTGTTAGATATGAAAATTTTGTGCTACTCTGTGCATTAATAAATATTGCGATTCTTTCAGACAGTCATGAATCATTATTATGGAAGTGTGCAGACAAACCGTTTATTTGATATAATAGTTGATACAATAAGATATGATAGAATAGTATTGTTGATAGAATGTCTGATGTGAATAAAATAGTTAATTTGAGTAAAAATACAAATTTTTCCAAATAATGAAAAGTACTTGAAAGTACTTATTCATTTTCTTTTGAGAGCAAATTATTTTGGCAAAAAAAAAAATCGAACAAGAAGTAATGAAAAATTTTTCGTAATTATTAATTACAATTATAATTAAATCAAAAGAAAAGATGATTACACTTGGTATTTTTTACAATATTTCGATACGATATTTGGCATGTACATTATACAATGTATGAAACAATTGATACAAAATTGAGTACTCTTTATTTTTTTGCCAAAATTTATGACAGTAACAAAACAAAAATACCATTTCACCATTAACAAATTAAAAAATAATAATCTCAATCTCAAAATTATTTTTACGAAATTAAGCAAATTTTCATAGTTGAAATACATAACAAGTTTGATTCAAACTGCCATCCACACAGTAATTCGTTGAATCAGCAGTGAACGATAGATTGGATTGTGAACACAGGACCACATAATTATCCAGATGTTTCGCTTTCAACTCCGAATAAATAGCAGCTTTTGATATTTTCGGATCTGGGCTTAGATTCTGAAAATTTTTTAGACTGAATATTTATCTTTTAATCTAAGTTTTGTTTTGCTTTTTTGATCTGATATTTATTGGGCATAGTATAACTCGATCATTTAAATGGCCATTATTGAAATGATCTAAATACTGCATGTAGCAGCTCATGGACATTTTCTTTATTTTTGTTAAAAAGAATACATTATACTATGGTAACAAATTTTGAAAAAGAAAAATTATGTAAATGAAAGTCAAAGAAACTATCGTTATGTGAACTACTTTATCCTTAGATTATACATAAAATTGATTGAAATTATTAGTAAAAAAATTTGCTTCTTGATATCTTCTTCATTTTTGTTATTCTGAGTAAATGTTATTATGCTCGTATAACATTCACTGACTATGGAAAAATTGCAGAACAATTTTTTTGAAACTGATTGAAACAACGATACTTGATAATATAAATCAAATCTTATTAATTTTTTATAGGAAATAAACTCTTGTATTCTGAATAAATATTTTAAGTACTAAGGAAAAAATATTTAAACAAAATTATAAGATGTCATTTAATTAGCAGTTGTTATTAGCCGTAAAAAGTGACATTTTTACTACGTGAGAGATTTAATCTTTTAAAATTTAAAACTATGATAATTAAATTCATTAACGATGGAAAAATTCAATTATTTAATAAACAACTATTAGGTCATTTTGATTTAAGTTTTGCAATAATTTTTTGACTTTTTAATTTTCAATAAAGCTAGAAGGATGAAGTTAATTTTCTCAGTAATCAAGTTTAGCAACTATTAGATCATTTCGATTTAAGCAACTGAATCGAAATGATCTAATAGTTGTTTATAGTAATGGAATAAGTTAAAATATTTTTTGCATGAAGTTGATCCAAAAATCCAAAGAATTTAAATAATTGAATTCTTTTAGCTTTTCAAAAAATACCTCATTCAAGTTGCTACGAGGGCAGCAACAATAGAGTGAAATAAGATAACGTAGAAGATAAATGCTTCTGTTCATAAAAAAAGATGTAAACCAGTGATAAACTTTTTTAATGAAAGTTTTTTGATGACAGAAATTAGTATTTTTAAAATAATTATTTCTTAGTACTTGAAAGTTATGCAATTTGGATTTCATTTAAGTCAATAAAGCTAGAAAGATGAAGTTAATTTTCTCAGTAATCAAGTTTAACAACTATCAGATCATTTCGATTTAAGTAACTGAATGTAATGGAATAAGTTAAAATATTTTTTGCATGAAGTTAATCCAAAAATCCAAAACTTATGCATATTAGCTCAATTTCGTAAAAACGTTGGCTTCAGTTTCATTAACAGAATGTGAGTTATTTATTCACTAAGGGCAATTTGAGATTCGTTTTTTTCCCAGCCTCAAAGCAATTGCTTTTAGTATACCAATATTGCTTAGATAGATTTATCTAGTCTAAGATAAATAAATATGAAATGATTTCAAGAATTTTGAATTAGACCTATCTACGCATTTTGATAGTGTTCTGATTTTTATTGTAAATAAACTTGAGAAAAGTCATCACTACTGAAAATTTTTTTTCAAATCATAAATGCATGCAGTGCAAAAAGTCTCAGAAGATTCAATTTGGAAAAAGGCTCCATGAACATGGAGAATTGAAATATTTTATGGAAGAAGGTGAAAAAGTTCAACTCTATTTTTCATTTGCAGTTATCTTCTAATTTCATTTTTTTTGCGACATATTTTAAACAGCATTATCAATTAATGAATTTTAATGGAAGCATAGGAATTTTGAAGAAATCCATTAAAGATCTGATTTTCAACAATTGCGAGTGATATTTAATGCCAGTAAAACAAATTGAAATCTTAACTAATGATTCGCTTGTTGATCAAATATTGAAAATGTTTTTTTGAGCATAAGTTTAAGCAAAAATAAATAGAATAAAAATAATAAATATAAAAATTACACTAAAAAGCAGAACGTGCATTTTTACCTTCAGGATAATTTTACGAATTTGGTTATTGTTGCACAACGCTTCACTGTTGATACCATTTTCAGTGATGATAGCATTATTAGGTGAAGAGCGTTTCTTTCGCAAGCATGGAGCAGGGCATGGATTTGGAGGAAGAGGAGGAGGACAAGGACATGGTAGTGGTGGTGGTGGTGGTGGACAAATTGGCATCGGTGGTGGACATGGTGGAGGTGGTGGAGGACAAGGTGGTGGACATGGTGGAGGTGGTGGAGGACAAGGTGCTTGACATCCACAACCACCACCACCCAAGAAAAATGCAGGATATTCTGGAAGGAAAACAAGGAGTAAGAAGAGAGCAGTCACCATCGCTAGATGATAATTACTTCACGGAAGTTTAACGATTGTCCGAAGGAATCAAAACAACCACCAACAAAGTAGATTGTTTCTAAACTGAGCATCATACTTATGTTTATATAAACCAATTGTGTTACTAGTCATGGTCACCTTAAACTGGTTAGTTGTCCATGCACCTATCATTGGTGTGTATCATATTCTTGCCTTTCCTACAAAACCTGACCCCCCCCACAACCTTCCCACCCTTCCATAAAATCTTATTAATTAATATCAGCTTTTTCAATTATTAAAAGTCTGTCTGCACGTAAAGCAAACAAAATTATTTTTAATCTAATTTGTAGACAATTTTTATCTTTTATGTGCAAAAGTTAACAAAAGTTCTCTTTAAAAAACTATAGTTTTTTATTGCATGTAAAGAATATAGTTTGTAAGCTGTAATAAAAAAAATTAAGACAGTGAAATACTCATCCAATTTTTTAGCTCCTATTTAGACCACATTACAGAAGTTCATAATAAAAATTTTTTTTTCAACTTTCACCATGCAGCAATAATTTTTGTTTTTCGAAGCTGGCACTTTTAGTTGAAATTTTTATTTACATAATATTCTGCATGAAAGTAATTTAGTTTAAACATTACTGTGACCATAAAAAGCGCTTATTTAATGAAAGCCATTAAATAATTGAAGGAAGCAAATTTTTTATCTACAGTAAAATCTATTCATTTTAAAATGAAATTTTTGGAAACTTGAAAAAAGTTGAAAATTTTAAGAGTTAGATTTTACACATGTTTAAACCACACTTAAAGTCATGCGCTCAAATATAAGCATCATGTGATTGAAGAAAAAAACAATTTAAAAATTTTTAAATTATAATGCCCAATTTTTAACATTTTCAAAAGCATGAGACATCAAAGTTACAATGTTTGGATGGATGTCAAAAACATGAAATTTTATAACATTAATTATATAGTACCAAATTCAAATGTACACTTCCCACACTTTCTGAATAAAATTACAATGACTCTATAATACATCTTTGCTTATCAGTTCACTATATTTAAAATTTGAAATTTCTCAAAATAAATGCGTTAGTAAATTGTCATTTACCGCTCCACACATTAAAAAAACATTGCAGAATTTGTGCGCTGCATTTTCTGCATACGCCTTTGCAGTTAGCTTGTAATCAACAAAAAGTTATGGTAATAAACTTTACTACTTGGGACTAAATTATTCTGTAGATCATCTCAAAAAAACATCTAATGAATTATGCAAATACATAAATTATGATCTCGTGATCTAATCTCATAGTAATACAAGTATTTCATGAGATTGAAGAATTATGTAGATAATCTTATTCTTAAACGAGAAGCGTTCAATTTTTTTTAAAAAGATATGCAAACTTTTTCATTCAGTCTTGCAAGGTTATCATTATTATTACTTTTAATAATGCTAAAAATAGCCAGT